GTTCAATAGGTCATTGGAGTCGTCGAAATTCCCGTTGATCTGGAAATTTGGTAAAGTCACTGCTCTATTTAAATCTGGAGACAGATGCGATTCTGGAAATTATAGACCGATCACTATTCTGCCCACGGTCAGCAAAGTCTTAGAGAAGGTTGTACATCACCAAGTTTACAAATACCTTGTGGATGAAAAGATTCTATCGCCAGTGCAATTTGGTTTCAGACCAAATCTATCAACCGAAGTCGCTTTGATACATTTTACTGACTCGATTCTTGATAATATGGACAAAGGCGCTGTCACTGGAGCAGTCTTTTTGGACCTATCAAAGGCCTTCGACACGGTGAACTATTCTATTCTATTTTCAAAATTATCGAAGGCTGGATTTACTGATGCCACTATAACATGGTTCAAATCATACCTATATCAGAGAATACAGGTAACAAGAGTGGATAATGCTACCTCCTCTGCAAAGTATGTCTCAGTTGGAGTTCCACAAGGGAGTGTCCTTGGACCACTCCTATTTATCCTTTACGTGAACGACTTGCCGTCTTGTATTAAGAAGTGTAAAGTGACTATGTATGCAGATGACACGGTTCTTTATTTCTCTTCCTCTACGTTGTCGGGGAAATTTGAATGCTGACCTTGAAATCTTTCGCAGATATTTAAATGACAATCTTTTAACTTTGAACGCTGAGAAAAGCAAATTTGTAATCTTCGGCAGCACGCGTAGACTCAATTCATTCCGTGAGTTTTCATTAGAGATCAACGCACATAACTTGGAACGTAGAGACACCTTCAAATACCTTGGCATTAAACTTAAAGTGCTTATGTCACAAAAACTTTTTTTTGATATTTGGTAGAGGACAAAAAGTTAGTTAATAGGTTCTTTAACATTTTTCGGTTTTCTATTTTTATTCGCGAGATACGAGGCTCTAAACAGCGATTTTCGTAAAATTGTCGCGTATCAACAAGAGTCTGGGACGAGCGTGGTGTGACGTAGCTTAAGGAACTTAATTTCGACGCGCATTATACATTTGATATATTTTCCAGCATGTCAGACAGTAGGTCGGATTTGGAAAGCACTCATAGTTCTCAATGTGACTCAGAATACAGTTATATTCCTGGATATATATTATAGAGGATGAATGAAATGATACTAGTCACAAAATCGGAACTCTAGAAGCAGTTGATAGCGAAATTTTAGGCGATTATGATGCATGCCTTTATGCCGATGAACCGCTAGCAGGCGAAGCATTGTACGTACGATATCTAAAAAAATCAGCAGAACACAAGCAACAAAACTAGATGCTACAGCGAAGATTAGATGGCCTTGAAGATATTAAATTATGGGGAGTGTAAACAAAGATTTATTTTAACATTTTAACGTAAAATAAGTATCTCTGACTAATATATTTTGCGGGATACGGGCTCATACGGCATCAGTCACATCAAAGAGTTTAAACCATGTACACTTCCCTCACCTTCGCAAGAAAATACAAGACACGAGATCAAAGAAAATATAAACCGACTGGTTCAGAGCAAATTACGTATATATTCTTGTTTGAGGCTACAGTGTTTATCTGTGATCACGTTTATTTAATACGAACGATTAAACGATTGTATTTTCTCGCAAGTTTTCTTAGAGCCCATTTTTCCAAGCAAATAGGTCTGAATCCCGAGTGTAGAATGATACAGCAGTAACAGCACGGCGGCTGTGGTACATCTTCTTAAACCAAGTTATCCTTCAGAACTTCCCCACATTTACAAGATTCCATCTCCTGACAGCACCAAGCTTCGTGTGTATATGTATTATCACACAATTGCCGCATTTACACTTGCGAAATATGATACAGGTGAGGAAAGTGATATGACTGATGCCGTATCAAAAATATATCAGCCAGAGATACTTATTTTACGTTAAAATGTTAAATAAATCTATGTTTACGCTCACCATGATTTAATATCTTTAAGGCCGTCTAATCTTCGTTCTAGCATCTCGTTTTGTTCCTTGTGTTGCGCATGGTTTTAGATGTTGCGCGTAGCATTCTTGGCTCGCTAGCGGCTCGATCGGCATAAAGGCAATATGCATCATAATCGCCTAAAATTTCGCTATCAACTGCTTCTAGAGTTCCAATTTCGTGACTGGTATCATTTGATTCATCCTGTATATATACCCAGGAATATAATTGTATTCTGAGTCACATTGAGAACCATGAGTGCTGGAAAATATATGTTTTCCCAATAGCTTTTTAGTACTCCTTCACATGTGAATTCGAACTTCCGTCCCTTAAGCTACGTCACACGGCTCTCGCCCCAGACCCTTTTCCGTTTTTTTCTCGGGCGCGACAATTTTTCGCTAAAAGCCAATTTTTCAAGGTTTAGAACCTCATATCTCGCGAATGAAAAGAGAAAACCGAAAAATGTTAAAGAACCTATTAACTAACTTTTTGTCCTCTACCAAATATCAAAAAAAAGTTTTTGTGACATAAGCACTTTAATCAAAATATGTCTTGGTCGAACCAGATTGATGCCCTTAGCAAAAAAGTCAGCCAACGACTTGGAGTTCTGCGTCGTGTTAAGTATTTGCTGCCTCTACATGGTCGTTTGGCGATATATAACAGTCTCATTTTACCGTTATTTGATTATGCAGATATTGTGTGGGGGGACAAGAACAATAAAGTCCTAATGCATAATCTCCAGGTTTTGCAAAATAACGCAGCAAGAACTATACTGGATTATCCTAAATACTTTTCCGGTACCGAAGCCCTCGCACAGCTAAACTGGATGCCTCTATCAGAACGTCGACGCCAACATCGTTGTATTGGTATTTATAAATGTATAAATAAGTATATAAAATATCAATTCAACCTAGTTCAAAACGTTGAAATTCACTCCCACAACACACGCCGCCGTCAGGAATTACATCTTCCACGCTCGCGTACTAACTGGGGAAAACAACGCTATATATACCAAGCAGTCGTTGATTGGAATAACCTTAATTTAGACCAAAGACAATCGAACAATTTGACTTCTTTTAAGAACTCTACATAATAACTCTATATTAACTTAGACCAAAGACAATCGAACAATTTGACTTCTTTTGAACTCTATATACGATTTTAGCTGATATAATTTTAAACATACTTTTTATATATGCTATTATAATGTAGTTTTATTTGTATTTTAATTGATATCGTAGGACCTGCCTGAAAATCACCTTGTTGTGAGTGTAGCTTCCTACTGAAATACTGTTATAATAATAATTAAATAATAATTTCTTCACTGAATCGAGCAGTGGGATTTCCATATAGGCCTATCAGTCATGGAACCAAAGATACTTGATAGATATTAACTCCAAAGTATAAACAAGGGGCCGGTTGATGCAGTAATTATCAAATAACAGTTAAACTCTTATATACCGGTTGAATATGTATAGTTGTAAACAAATAAAAACTATCGTTCTATAAGGTTCAATACTTTCAGTTTGGTTGTTGACTGATGATGAATCTATAGTATAGACTTGCATGCTTTGTATTTTGAGCTTATTAAACCACCGTTTTAAGGCAGCTAAACGGCTAAACGGGCTTGGTTTATATTAACACATAAAATAAATTCCTTGATTCTCATCACTAGACACAGTCTACACTTTGAAATGTCGAAGACAGTGGGAGATTTATTTTTTATATTTTATATTTATATAATTTATATATCAATAGTTCGTATCTCCACAAACAATGACAGAATGACTGAGTTTCTTTAAAATACAATGAAATTTCACTCAAAATTCTGTTTGTTTCAAATTGGAAGTTTAAAATTGCAATAAAAACTCTATATAAAATATGAAAAAATTAACTGTCTTGAATTATTTTGTCGGGCGGTACATTTATATTGTATAACGAAAAATAAAACGTTTTCACGAGGATTTTAAAATTCAGTCGGGCGGTGATGAGAATGAAGGAATTTATTTTATGTTGGGCAGTTGGGACTTGGGAGCAGCTTGGGAGTGGCTAATTTTGAATATTTACTTAATTAATGCATCTATAAATAGCGTTGATGCTTCAGGGGCGGTAGTTCATTTACACCCAGTTTTGCGGCAGGCGGTATTTCCTACGTACCGCCTGCCATGCAGGCTAAACTTTCCGAAGGTATATTTTCAACAATATTTTGCTCTGTTGGTCAACATTTATTGTGATATTTTTACAAAATGACTAGAAGTCATCAAAGAAAACGCAAATATAAGTATCACGGAAACCAGTTTAATAAGAAAAAGAACACAGAACCTTTGCAGTGTGATAATCCGGGCAGAAATGTTGAATTTTTAGAGGGACAGTCAGCTTCAGCAAAGAAGGTACGTTTGCAAAATATTAGAGAAGAAAACTGTAGAGAATCATCTATATCCGGCTATAGAGTGTTTAGTATGGTCGTATTGGCCAAAGCTTGTAATAGTTGTGGTGAACAACATATTTATATTACTGAGGATTTTTCCAAAGGAAAAGGTTGCACTTCACTAATACACATGCGTTGTGCTTCATGTGGTTGGCAACATTCGTTTTATACTTAATAATACATTAATTATACATTAAAAATCAAGAACTATTATGAAGTAAACAGGAGAATTGTATATGCAATGAGAGCTATTGGCAAAGGAGCAGAAGCAACCAAGAAGTTTTGTGGTCTCATGGACATGCCTGCACCTCCAAGGCCAAGTGCTTACCACCGCCATAACAAAGCTCTTCTCAAGGCAGCCAAGATGGTTGCTGAAGAGACTATGGCAGACGGTGCATCTGAAATCCGCGGGGATAATGGAGGCATTTCTCAGTGCAGTGTTTCCTGTGATGGTACATGGCAAAAAAGAGGATACTCATCTCTAAATGGCTGTGTCACTGTTCTTTCTATGCAAACAGGGAAATGTCTCAACATCGATATCCTGAGCAAAGTTTGTCATGGTTGTCGAAGAATAAATAAGACCATAGATCCTGAGGAGAAAAGAGTTCTTGAGGCTGATCATATTGGAAAGTGTAAAGCTAACTTTAAAGGATCTGCATCGTTAATGGAGCCAACTGGAGTTAAAAATATTTTTGCGAAAAGCGAAGATAAACATAAGCTGCAGTACACAGAATATTTTGGGGACGGAGATAGCAAAGCGTTTAAGGTGAAGTAGAAAATACGTATGAAGCTAAGGGTGTTACTGCAGTAAAGAAAGAGTTTGTTGGTCATGTTCAAAAAAGGGAGCGGGTACTGCTTTGAGGAAACTAAATAAGGAAACAAAAGGTTTGGGTGGAAAAGGGAAGCTGACTAATGCAATGATTGATCGCCTACAAAACTATTGTGGTATTGCTGTTAGAAGCAATATTGGCAATAAAGAGAACATAAAGAAAGCAATTCATGCGGCATTTTTCCATTGTGCTTCATCCAAGGAGAATAATTATCATGTCTATTGCCCTGATGGTCCGGAAAGTTAGTGTAAGTTCAAGAAGGATAAAGCTAACAGCACAAATGAATACAAAGCAGGTCCCAGTCTCCCAAAAGATGTACTCAAAGCAGTCAAGCCTGTCTTTGAAAGGCTCAGTGAAGATAGCTTATTGGATAAGTGCCTTGATGGAAAGACTCAAAACCAAAATCAGTCCCTTAATTGGGTGATTTGGGATAATCTTCCGAAGACTGTGTTTGTCGGAAGTGATACACTGCATCTTGGTATTTATAATGCAGTAGCAACCTTCAATATTGGCTGCCAAGCATCATTGCATATTTTGAAGGAAGCAGGAATAGAGCCAGGGAAGTTCTGTACAAAGGAGATGAAATGCACAGATCTTGTAAGAGTACATAAGGCGAATTACAAAGCGAAGGAGGAGATAAAAGTACGTAAGAAGATAATTAGAGTAGCAAGGAAGCATCGTAGTGACAAAGCCGAGGAAAAAGAATGTGACATATGCCCCAGGGTCATTTTAATCAAAACAATGTTGATCACATATAGACAGCTGTTTTTAGTGGAATATTCCATCAAATTAGAGAAGAAACATGTTACGTAAACTTTACAAAGCTTTTTCTCAATACTGCATATTTCTGGTAGTTGCAAAATTTAAAACACAATATCTGAAGTTGCATTTAACACCTGCTAATGAAACTTCTCTAGTTTTTAGCTTTGTTACTGCTCCAGGGTCTAGACCTAAAATATTCTGGACTTTGTACATTTTGGCAACTTTGTAGCTGCTCGACCAAGAGTCCGAAGCAGCAGTTTTAAGTTTTTAACCTCAAATTGTCCATCATATAATAAATGCAGGATTTTTTAGGTAAATATTGATAACCTAAATATTGATAACCTTTATCCAAAAACATTGTTTTGAAGTATTTTTATTGGTTAGATTTTCTTTAAGCATGTTTTGAAAATTGGACATTTTACCCGCTGCGGGGCCAATTATATCGTAACCATGGTAACAGATTTGTCCGGAAAGTATATTTTTGTGTAAGAGAAATTTGTTTATTATTTCTGAATATTTCACATAACAAAGTAAGCATTTTAAAGAAAATATATAATTTTTGTGTAAGACCACCTTATTAACATAGATAACAGCCTGGCGGAAGACTTGTTAAAACGTGATTGTTATAACTTATATTCAGTTCATATCTTACAGATAGGTAATTTAAAGTATCGGTGGACAATAACGTGTCTTCAAAAGCTAACGTAGTATCTGGTGTTCCACAAGGATCGATATTGGGACCTTCGTTGTTCATTCTGTACATGAATGACTTACCTCGATCTTCATTTGAACGACACCGAAATTGATCTGTATTCTGATAACACGACACAATATGAGGCTGGTTATAACGTACAGGATGTGGAACATAAACTTCTGAATAGTAATTTGCAACCAGAGGTGAAGTGGTCAGAAAACAACAGGATGGTAGTAAACACGGAGAAGACGAAAACCATGGTTATTGGAAGCAAGTTTAAAGTTCGGGGAAACCTTAACCTTGATCTAAATGGCTCTCGGATTAAGACCACAGATAACAATAAGCTGTTAGGTGCATGTTCCGATTTGACCAGAATTTCAACTGGAGTAAACACATTGACATGTTATGCAAAAGAGTCTCGATCACAGCGACATGGTGTTTTTCGTCGGATAAGATAAATTATTTTCTACCATTTCGGGCAAGGATGGCTTTCTACAATTGTCTAAATCTATTAATAACAGACTATTGCTGTGTTGGCTGGGGAAACACCTGTCCGAAGAAGAACTTAGACAAAATTTTAAAATTGCAGAAAAGAGCAGCACGGTTAATCCTTGATGCTGACAGGAAATCACATTCATTACACTGACCTGTAGTATCTTAAATCCGTCTTTTTCTGGGGTTTTTTCTGGTTTTTTTCGTAGTCGAGAAATAGAGTTTGCGTTAGCTCCTCGCAGGCTCAGGGTGCAATGATTAAGCCAAAATGCCATCAATTCCTCGGTTCCATGATTTAAGTATTATGGTAACAAACTCGTATTTATGTACGTAATAGCCGGCTCATGCCATGCTTGTGGTACATTTTTCGTTCATTAGCCCATACACTTGTACACACGCGCACAATTCCAAGGATGGAGTGCTCCAAGGATGGAGTGCTCCAGTGGCATATTGAGTTCAGTTTCAAAATGGCGGCTTTTCACTGAGCGATCTAATATATATTTCACACAGTTTCGTTGAATTTTCAAAGAATTGTGTTGGTTTCCTATGGAAAATACGTTGTGGCGCACTCTGGACTTTCTTGTCTGTTGAATTAATGTGTTTTTCTTTGTGTAACGACTTGAAAACCCCAAAATTTGGACCCAGCAAATTTATACAATATAGTGGAATATAAACAAGGGCAAGTTTAAGGTTTGACAGTTTGACTTTTTAAATAACAAGTATAAATATACGCTGTAGACTCATAAACATGCGTTGTGCGCTTGTGCTCATTTGCATAATTCTTGATTTGCTCATTTGCACCTAATTATTTACATTAATTTGCGCCAAATTACTTTCCATTCATCATATATTACTATAAAAATGTATTTTTTCGATTGTATTCAGCGAGGTGGCGTTGCGTGCGGCGAAGTGAAACGTGATACGGTTCGATTTGTTTTTGGGTCAAATCCAACTCCCCCCCCCCTTTTTAATTCTCAAATTGTTTATTAGGGCTAGCTATTAGATATTTACTGGCGG